ATATTTATATGTGTATTATGTGTAATACTAATATCAATAAAAAATATATTAAAAAAATATTTATACAGGTAGGATGCGTAATATCTGTAATTAGTATGCGTAGTACTCGTAGTATCTGTAATTAGTATATGTAGTAAACATAATAGACATAGTACGAGTAGTATACATAGTAGACATAATAGACATAGTACGAGTAGTATATATATTGAGTTTACCTGTATTTTTTTTGCTATATTATTTATTAATTAATATGGTTCATGAAAAAGATTTTGAAAAAGAAATAAATCATATCCTCCAATTCTCTTCTAAAGTGTGCGAATATAATAGTAAGTTGCGGGATAAATGTATTAAACAAGAAAACGATTTCGATCGAGAAAGAAAGGGGTGGGATCGAAAAAGAAATAAGTGAAGTCAGAAACTAGGAGGGCTAATACCGATATTCAGAAATTACATACCCATGATCTGGAACTTATTAATGAGGCTAGACATCTACAGATTGAAAATACCCACAAAGATTTTTCTCTTGCTGAATTCAAGGCTAAGTATGTTACAAAATTAGAGGAGATTAAATCATTTCGGAATGAAATAAAATTATTGAAAGTTAGGTTAAATTTATTTCAGAATGATTCATCAAAGAAAGGGTCCGAAATCGAGTCTCTCAAATCTAAGATAATTGAATTAGCTTTAAAAATCAATGAATTGGAGCATCTGAAATCTGATATATTGGAATCTATAATTGGTGGAGAGGACAAAAAAAATATGCAAAGTAAAGAACAAAGTTCAATACCAAATTCTAGCTGTGAAACCGTGGCCCCCAACAATAATATATTTGTGGATAATGATCTTAGTAAATATTTAACACGTAAAAAAAATATGAATGAGGCAAAAAAAAATGTTACTATTGTATCAGCTCATGATGAAGTATCACCTGAGGATTCAATAATTCAAGACTATACCTCACCGCTGAAGATCAATATTTCCACAACAACTCATAATGAAGTAGTTAACCCAAAATCCAATATATTCCCAGATGATATGCATATATGTCAAGACACTAGCTCTGCTATAAGCTCTGATGTACCATCAAATATGCCTAAGAGTGTGACACCATACCTTGAACAACAGGAAAATCACAATTCCTCTTTGATTGAACCGCATTCTCAAATTCTGATAGGAGGAATAGGAGCCACCCCTGTTATAACAAACACATTGATATCATCTTTATTAGCATATATTTTTCTTATTCTGTTAATTATTATGGTTATTGTTATATTGAGATGCATATAAAATATGGGTAAAAAAAATGATCAGTTATGGGATGCATGGGCCAGGTATTAGGAACTATCTATTTAAACTTCAATATTATTTATGTACAAAAAATATTATTAATAATGTATAAGTATCTTAGTAGGGCGTGGCAATTCTAACTAAGATTACTTAACAATAGATAAATTAATTTAAGCCTTTGATATATTTCATAAGCCATTTTTTGGCTTCCCTCTGAGAATATGTGTCAATCTGTTTTTCTTTCTCATCTGAATCTTTGAGTTGCATAATTTTATGTGAAAATGGTAATTGATATTTCTTATCTTCGTTAATAAACCATGCACACATTGCCGTTGTTGCTCCTAAGTAATAATTGATATCTATTTCCATATTTTGCTCTTTTGCGATGTCTGCATACTCCATAAAATCGCCGATTCTATGTGGCTCCTTTCTACCCTCTTTATTATAGAAAGGTGGGCCTTTTACAACAACGTAGCTAAACCGTTCGCCAGAATTAGGAATTCTCTCATTTTTCTCTTTCATATGACCCATAAAGCGATTGTTACAAAGATTTCGTTTCTTAGGCTTCCATGTTCCCATTATGATAAATTCATTGAAATCTCATTCCTTGTTCCGAGCTTCCCTAAGAATATCTTCAACAATTTTATGAATTGAGCATATATTATTTATATCAAAAGCCTCCCTCATAATCCTCTCTCCAATGAATTTAAGAAGCTGGAATTTACCTTGTTTTACAGTATTTATCCCTTTCATGAAAAGATTTTTCGGTTTAAAGTTTACTACATCTTCATGCCCAATTCCAAAATATTTCTTTTTGCCAGTAAAGCAGATGGGAAATAATACCTCATCATATGCCATCTTTAGATAAGAGGTCCCACTTTTTATCCTAAGATAGGCATTTATTTGATTGTACAACTTTTTCATCACAACCATAGTAATTTTGACCATTTCGGCCCAGTATATTTCTTTGGAAAGTTCTTTTCTGGAGAAGGCCTCATCACATTTCTCGTAATACCTATCTGGGCAGGTGAGATACAAAGAATCGGTATCACCGTATTTTATCCCAAACTCTTTCTTTGTTACAAATTCTACGATAAGATTAAGGTTGTATTTCCCTGCTGAAGTAGTTCTTCCAGCTAATGCACGAAGAAAAATTGGAGATTTTGAGTTTCCTGCTTCCTCATAAAAAGTGTTCATATATACCTTCAAAGCTCTTTGTTTCAAATCAAAATAATCATAATCGAAGCATATGGATGAATATTCCGAATTTAAGCTTTCTGGAACTCTTTTACCTCTTTCTTTAGTCGAACTTATCATCTTCCCAAGGCATTCCATTTTCTTCCCTAGTGAGGCAAGCTGAGCTTTAAGCTCTACTCTCTTGTTGAATAAATCCTTTAATACGATAGAATATAAACCCTTCTTTTTCAGTTGATTATCATGTTTTATACTCCAAGCTTGGATGGTACGGTTATTAAATAAAAACTTAATCTTATGCAAGTTGTTTCCATTATTTTGCGCAATATCAGCCTCTCCATGTGTTAGTATTATTTTATCTGGAGAGAGATTGTAAGCCATGATAAGACTAGGATATAATGAAGCAAAATCCAATCCTGTTACAGGTCTTCTCGTTTCAATCCCTTTTTTAGGCGGAAATACATATGAGCCGGGATACTTATCCTTTTCTGTGTTTTCAGGTATCCTTGTACTAATTACCATATCACGTTTAAAAGCATAAGTGCCCAGAAGGTTTCGTACCTTCATTTCATTCGCATGTTAGTATGAGTCGAACAAAGATATATAAGCTATAGAAGCGACTTCTCTGTAATTATTTATTTGACTTAGCTTTACCAAAAGTTCTTGACAGCGCAGTGTGTCTATAATACAGTAATGTGCTACTTCATGCATATTTCTTGCAGTTGACGAGGAGAAGCTTTTTTTCGCCTCTGAATATATTTTCCACATTTTATCGTATGGCATGTCAGCCTTAGTGTCAAGACCGCATTTTTGTAAGAAGAATTTAAGTGAGCCTTCCTTTTCAACTTCAGAATGAGGGAAATATCTTTTGAGACACACCCAAACATCAATCAGTATGCAACCTGGCATTTTAAGGAAGCTAGAAGTAAAATCCTCTTTCGCACTAACTTTGATCTTAATTGGTCTGCCCATATATTCTTTCTCCTCCAGATCCTCCTCGTTTTCCTCGGGAGGTTTAATAGTATTCTTTATCTTAAAAATATTTTCAGACTTCACTTCTATCTTTTCACGATATTTCTATTTTATAATTTCTGCATTCGTTTCGAACTTACCTGCCATTCGTTCTCACATCCATTCGAGTATATTGAGATAATAGGCTCTCTTCATAATAAAACACCAATCATAATCAGAATCGTTAAACCCAACTTGAATGTCAGGGGCAAATGCTCGCCAGCAGAGAGCAAAAGCTTTTAGCAGATTATCTTGGTTTCCACATATAATTGTGATCCATCGCAGATCTGGTTCTGTCTTAACATCAACAAGACATATTTGCTTTAGAGGTTTCGAAACATCTTTCCAATGCAATGTCATGCAAATTATAAAGACATTATTATTCATATTGAGAACTTCGGCAAATTCGCCAAATTCTTATGATTGAGTCTCTATGTCCCACGTGAGGACAAGAGTACGATCTCGTAAGAGAGCTGAAATAGGGAATCGGTCACTTATTGTTGTAAAATCCTCTAACGGACAGAAATCTTTTATACATATATAGAATTCGTGCGGATAGAGTGGGCTGGTCTGCTCGTTTTTCTTGTGTATATATTTGTTTATTATAGACCACCCAGAGAGTTGGATTCTATTTTCTTGAGCCACCTTTCGGTGAAATGAGTATAAATCATCTGAAGCAGTTTCGAAATTATTATCTTGAACAGCTTCGATGACTTTTTTTCTGCTCCCAGTACCATTTGTGTAAATTCGTAAATATGTCTTTTTTTCTATATGATAACCCCCAAAAGAGAAAGCTTTAATATACTCTATTTTAAATAATTTCACATTGCCAGAGAGAATTTCTTTTACTTTTATTTCGCATTTATCTGGAGTCTCTCCGTATAGTACGAGAATATCAAAGAAAACCTGAATGCCTATAAGAGTTACTAGTGCCTTTTGGCCATTAATAAGGTGACCATAAAGACGCAAAACATAGTGGTACATTTCATTTATCTTTTCTATTGACCCTTCACTATCAATGGCCATGAATGGAATTCCTCGGCAACTGGATAAAGCATCGTCAAGGATTGCTGTTAATCCCTTATCATTTTCCGCAACTATATCATCCAGAGTTGGAATACCTGACAAATATTTTTTATCGGAATAGCAGAGCAATTGTCCTGATTTTCCATTTTCCAAAATCTGCGATTGAGAAAAAGCTTTAAGCCCCTGGTGGTAGACCGCTCTATTTTCCTCGTTTTCTTTCTCTATTTCTGGCTCAAAATTTTCTGAGATTTCTGGAGTATCTGGTTGAAAAGGTGGCACTTCTGACTCTGCTGGCATGTAATCGATGTTTTTTTGATTATCCACAGTTGATATATCGGATGATGCAGATACAACGGGTGTGTTGACACTCTTTTGAATATTTTGGGTAGTCATGTTTTTTCTGGAAGTATATTATTCGGAATTAAAAAGTTCAAAATGAAAATTAATTCTAAAGAATATTGATCGATACATATTATATATACTCAATCTAGATACACTAACCATAGATAATAAAAAAGAATGGCATTTTATCATTGTCCTTATATTCTTAGGACTGGAAAAGTCTGTAATTGGGAGTGTTATCATCCCAAGGGGTACAAAGTTCATCACAATTCTCCACTACAAATTCTTTGCAAAGAATATGGTTGTGTTAAGCTTACCTCTTCTGATTATGGCTATTGTGATCCTCATGCACAGAAACATCGTAGAAGAGAGTATAAGCATCAGAAAAAGCTGGAGAAGATGGCACAAAAAGTAGAGGCACTTGGAAAAAATATATAGATTGATTGGAGGTTATGTCCAAGTTTTTTTTCTGGAACGGATTTTTTTCTAGGACGGAAGTTAGGACGGAAAAAAATATACATGCCGGTAATCTCAAGGCGAATAAAAAAGTTTTAGACTACCCGTCCCAGTTGTCCTAGTTGTCCTAGTAAAATCTCGATCTTATTACCTTTTTTTCTTTTTTTATCTATAGATATATAGCATATATATAACGTATATATATCATATGTATAGTATAAATGTATCATGGGTAGATAAATTTTATTTTTCCTAGATTATTATTTTTTACTAGGACAACTAGGACGAATATATAATAAATATAAAAGAACAAGATAAAAAAAGATTTTAAATCTTTCTCCTATATCGAATCCGTCCCAGTTAATATTTTTTTACTAGGACAAAACCAGGACGGGTTTTTTATTAGGACGCGAGCAGATTTATTTTAACCGCATTCTAAGATAGTAAGTACATTTTGATAACATTTTCGATAGTATAATCAGAAAGCATATTCTATAGCATTTATATAATAGCAAATTAGATAGTATAACCTGATAACATATACATGATAGCATTTATATTATACATGTGGTAGAAATAGGTAGATCCTTGACGCAATTGATGCAATTATTTGACGCAATTAATTGAGTCACTATT